GCTGAACGATCTTGCTATGCAGCTGCAGCCTTTAAATTCTGCTACAGTGCAGAATTATGCATGAACCAGCAGAAGGAGCTCCAGGTCTGGCCATTGGTGTAGAGCTGCTTTCAGCAGCTGTGGCCAGAAATCATTCTCTACCCATCGATTCTTTCCCTTTGTGCTTTGAGTTCTGTTTGCCAGGCAGCCCAGAACTGCACTGGAGAAGAGCTTTGCTTGTTTCTGTCTGTTCAGCTGCAGTGGAGTTATGACTTTGCATAGTAAAGCAAGTCCCTCAAGAGACACTTTTGTACAACGGCCCCGAGTTCTGATGAGGGAGCAAACCACATCAGAGCAGAAAATTCCCAACCTGTCATACTTTTTTCCCAGAATTGCTCTTTCTCAGGATTTGAAGATAAGCAGCTTAGGGGAATCTCCCTCCCTATCCCCAATTCTTGTGTTCTACCTTGTCAAGAACGTGGGTATATTAAAAAAAAAAAGGGATTCTTGGGGCACCTCAAGCTATTGCAAAGTGCTGTATCACAGCTTCATAAAGAAAAGGATTCTCATGGAAATACCAGCCTGACTTGCCAGAGCAAAAGTGTTTTTACTTGCATGCTCACAACCACACGCTGGTAGGTCTGCATGCTGCCGAGATCTGCAATCTGGATCATTAGGCTATGGAGGCCAGTTGATAAATGTGATAAATATGCAAACTTTCAGTTGCTTGTTCAGGTAGAACCAGCCAGGAGCTTTTGTCGTTCATCCAGCTCAAATGTTAGGGCCAATGGCCCGGATCCTCGAGTAGGGCCACACAAACAACTTGGAGAAGAAGGGTCTGGGCTCCTTTGCTGAGGGAGGTGGCAGAGTGTGCATGGATATGTTTCAAGCAAGGATAGACATTTTTCAGGAGTTTGGACCAAAAAGGCTATTTTGGGAAAGAACTGAGTGGGGTTTGATAGTGATCTGGCCACAGGAGTCTGCCTTTTTCTCTTTTGTAGAAGATGGACTATGCACTATGATCTTTGCAGTGTCACTCTGTCACTGTTGGTGGACTTCAGCCAAACTGTCCTTTCGCTACCTCTTCAGCCTTCCAAGTGCATAACATTTTGCTGATGCAGGAGATTTTTTAGAATTTCTGTATCGTGAGTAAAATACATTAGTTGACCTGCCATAAATTGGCAAAGAGCTCAGCCCAGCTCAGCATGGCAGGCCGGCAAGATGGACTATGCACTATGATCTTTGCAGTGTCACTCTGTCACTGTTGGTGGACTTCAGCCAAACTGTCCTTTCGCTACCTCTTCAGCCTTCCAAGTGCATAACATTTTGCTGATGCAGGAGATTTTTTAGAATTTCTGTATCGTGAGTAAAATACATTAGTTGACCTGCCATAAATTGGCAAAGAGCTCAGCCCAGCTCAGCATGGCAGGCTGGCTGCCTCGCAAGGCTGACTGCTGCTCTGCAGCCACAGGATGTGAAAGGCATCAGGCCCTGTCATTAAAGCAGTGTGGTTTTAAGGTCTTCCAAAGCTGGAAACAATTGCTGTTTATTCCCTTAGTAGCAGCTTTACATTCACAACTCTTTTCTGTTGTAGAATATTAAGTTAGTAATCTTGGTGGCACAAGGACCTTTGGGTCAGTTGAAGATCCAAACCACTTACTGCTCAGAGACATGTTTCCCAACTCTAGCAATGTAAGGGGCCTGTACCAGATCCTAAAAATTCCTCACCAGTCTGTGCTGGGAAAAGTGGCTGAGGCACTAAAGGCTGGTGGCCTCCAGGAGAATGTCTACACTCTTGGATAGGTTCAGGGCTAGAGCTTGCCCTCCAGATCAGACTCTGCAGTTGGTTACACTGGCCATACATTGACCTGCATTCCAGCCAGGGAACTCAGTGCAGGACTGGCAGAAGTAGAAAAAGGGGAAGGCAGAGTAGGAAACTGTTGCTCAGTAACTCTATTCCAACATGAAGGTACAAATGCAGAACATCTCCAGGTCACTCTTTTTTACTAAGTTTGAAATACTAACTGTGGTGAATTTGTTAAAGGTTGATAAGTATGAATCATGGAGCAGTTTTCGTCCACTGTAAGAAACGATGTTAGTTACTCCCTACAGTGGACAGAGAGCTACATGATTTGATGGTATTTGCTATAAAGGAGAAATTAGTTAGACGTGGCCAAGGTGGCATCTCTATTTGGTCTGAATCTTTTGAGGACTGGTAAACTCTATAGCAAGGGAAAGTGAATTAATTCTCTTTCCTAAAGAGAAAGCCTTAGCTTTGGATCTAAAAGAGGTCCTGAATTAATGCACCAACATACAAAAGTTGTCTGCTGAGCTCCATGAGTGCACTTTGTGAGGCTTTTCCTTTGTCTGTGAGTGCCCGACTGTGTGCAGCCTTCCTGTGCCCGGGCTGGCCCCGCTGGTCCCGCAGCGCATGTGCTTGTGTGTGGGTAGGAACTGAATGCAAAGAGTCGCATTTCTATTGCACACATTGCTGTGGTACCTGGGTGCTAATCACCGTATTTTGCCTTCTCTAGCACCTTCCCAGCTGAGGATCTCAAAGTGTTTTACAATCATTAATTAATTTAGCTTCACAACCCTCGAGTGAGGTAGGTGGGTGATGCCATCCCGCTTTCCAGATGAGGACACTGATCTACTTGGGTAGCATCACCTCGCTCCTGCCGCTAAAGCCAGGGAGGCGAAGGCCTCGAGCTGGCCCGTGTGAAGCCTGCCACCCGTCCCGCGGCCGGGCTGCCCTCCCCACGGAAGGAAGAGCAGTTCTGCATGCAGCAGAGGGGATCCAGAGATGGCCAGAGCTTGCAGCCACCTGCTTCAGAGCCCTGCTCCTCCCTCCTTCCTGCCCTTCTCTGGAGTTGTGTTTTCCAGCCGATCATGCTGCCCTGAGGCTGGAGGAGGGATTATCCCTCATCAGTGGTGTTGTGGGAAGGAAATACAGAAGTAGTGATGTTACTGTTCCCTGTAGCTGACAAGGTGGTGGTGACATGCCTCCCTCCTGGCCCACTCAGAGCTTCCCTTTCTATACCATCCTTTACAACAGGTTGCTTAGGTCCCAGCTTGCTGAAGCTTCCTGTTTCCATAGCAAAGCTGCAAGGGCAACATCTCCTCACCCCGTTCCTGCACAGGAACTGTGACTCACACATGTGGGAATTTCACATCTGGAACCTGCAAAGTGTAGCTTTGCCAGTCCATCCATTGCTACCAGTTTGGATTGAGCAGAATCAGACTTTTCTGTGTGGTGCACAGCCCGTTTTGGCTGAAACCAGACTGGTAAATTTCAAATGAACCCTATGGAAAAGTCCTACCAACTTTTCTAAGAAAAGAATGAGTTGCCCTTTGCACAGGCAGAGTAGTGCTGAGGTGGTGTAGGTCCCTGCAGGTGATGCTTCCTCCAAGGCAGCTCTGCACTGTTCTGCTGCAGGAACTGGTGCCCAGTGGGCCTTGGGGTCACACTGCTCGAGGCTGGTCACCAGGGCATGTTGGGGCAAAAGCACTTTCCAGGCCTAGCTGGGAGGGAGGGTGAAAGGAACACTTGGAAACAGCAAGTGTTCGATGTGCGAGCAGGTTGAACGACGTGGTTGTCTGCCTTCGTCTAACCTGGTTCTGCGTGTGGCCTGGCCCTGTCTGGGCCTCCTCAGGTCACACAGGACTTTTCCATGAGGGCCAGCAAACCTCTGCCAATACAAAAGTAATGGACCTTTTCCAAATCTTCACCTCATGGTCTAGTGTAGGAGCCTCTGAGCTGAGCATTCAGGCAGCTGCTGCGTTCCTCCGTAGATTGGCCGTCTCTAGAACCTCTCCCTGTTGTTTGGGACCCTGGTTATTAAGCGCTAAGAAGCGATAGCATGACAAAGAAAGACTATTGACCCAATTGCACTTTGACTGATCTGTTTCTTTTTCCCCCCAATCATCGATGCAGGTGTGAGCTACTCCAAGTCGGTTCCTCCAGCCTACCCACCACCCCAGGATCCATTAAATCAGGGACAATACATGGTGACAGATGGCATATCCCAGTCCCAGGTCTTCGAGTTCACCGAACCCAGACGCAGCCAGGCACCATTCTGGCAAAACTTCAGCAGGTTAACACCATTCAAAAAATAATACCTAGAGAGATGGAGAATTTTAACTTAAAAGAACTAAAATTTAAAAATAAAAATAAATAAAATTATATTTATAGTTTGACCTTTTTTCGGAGAAGCACTGTTGCAACTAAATATATATACATATATATATACATACATTTTTAAAAATAATAATATATATACATATATGTATATATATAGAAGGACCAAAAACTTTTTGTTGTTGTTTTTGGGAAGCAATCTGCTACTAGATAGTAGGAAGCACCAATGATTTCTGACCATGTGACCTGTTTTATTTTATTCCATTGGTTGGATATCTCTTTTGTTTGTTCCTTTTCCTCATTTTCATCCAAGTCCTCACTGCCATCCCAGAACGCTTTCTCGCTTGTGTGGAGTCGTCATGGAAATTCCTCATGGACTACATTGGTGTATATTTTATTTGATTTTATTTATGGGGGGGGTTGTTTGTTTTTTGGAGTGCCGGGAGATCTCTGCTCCCTCTCCCTCCCTGTCTGTCCCTTCCTTGGTGTCCCTGGAGTTCCCATGTCAATGGAGAGCATCAGCCCTTTCCTGTCCTGCATTCTCTGGTCTGACTCGTGCCTGTCTGGATGTGCTCCCGTCTGCACCGTGCTCTGCTGCGCAGTCTTTCTCTGGCTTTAGCTGTTTTGTTGTGGGCAGGTGAAGGCAAGCAGAAAGGGTATCAGCTCTTTAGGAAGTGAGAGATGGGTTTTCCTCAGTTAATTTTTTTGCCTTTTTTTTTTTTTTTTTTTT